AAAGACATGCTACTAAATTTAGATTGAACAGAAAGTGAATTTATACTCACTGCTAAAAATTTATGACAACCCCCCCAATTTAGGCTTGCCTACTGTACGGTAATACGTTCTGGTGCACTTCCATTGCTTCTTACCTACATCCTTTGCTGGCACTATCTTCCCATTTTCTGCATCAACGACAGATGAAGCCGTTCCGTGTTGATATACATCAAACGCTTATTAGGGGTCCATACTCGCCTTCACCACAGGCCGGCCAGTACTCGATCAAATTACTACTAGTGTTCAGCAACATCACAAAGAAAAGTATTGCATGCCATTTTGTCACCTTTCTATAGTGTAGATTACGTGTGTCTATTTTTAAGTCGGTACTGTTGTGAGCGAAAGCCTGAGATATGTTATTCATGACGACGTCCTATCGAACACGGCGCGCTATGTCGGGATTGATATTGTAGCAGCATTATATCACAGCAGCTGGTCGTCTGTATAGAACGTCATCGTGCTCGAGGCTCGACTTGCAAGCACGGCTTCGATGCAAAAGGCGTTTCTGTGTACCGTTCTTTGATGATGGTGCTGTCCTCCGTTTACTAGACAGTGTATCGAGTCAAATTTTAGTGCATAAACGTCCTGCTAGAAGTAGTAGTTGCTCCTCATTTGTTACTGACTAAACACTCACTACATCCGTCTACCTTGCGATCGACATAGGGAACATGCTATGGAATGTGTCGTCCAGTCAAGCCTCTCTCACACTTTGGCTGCAGCATTTTTAACAGTTGCCGTTCTGTATCCTACAAGTGCTCGGGCAGCTTCGACGTCGAAGTAGGCAGCAGCAAAGCAGTACAAAAACGATAGCTCTTCTGTACACCGTATCGTATATAACTTCGTTTGACAAGCGTTTCGCTGCCGATTGAAGAGTCAACATAATTTCATAGCAGATACACACAAGGCCATCCGGGTCAAAGCGGACACCGACACGAGGAATACGACCTGCGTCGACTCGAATCGACTGCCGTGCTGGCAAGTGTGATGCCGTACAACAGCACAGCGTTCTCAGTAGCTTAATCAGAGTATCGGTCATCACTGATGACTCATCAGCCATTGCTGGACAGTGTTTGTTCTGACCGTAACGAACAAGCTGCTCGTAAAATATTTTCGAACTTTCAGTGTTCCTCCATTCTCTCGTAGGTCGTACTATCCACTAAGCAGTAGACTTGAGACATCAGGGACCTTGTATCAGCAAGGGCTTTCCTGTCAGTGCACATAAGAAGATTAAAACGAGAATGGGGCAACACGATGAAAGGCAGTCGCTCCTCTGATTGTGCCAGAACGACGATGGTTGACCATTCCAGGAGGGTCGAAGTGAGTCGCCAATGTTACAACAGGAGCTAGCGATGCAAAGAATGGATGATAAAAGTGCCAGCACTTGAAAATTTGTCAGTGATGGGTGGAATTCACACAGCTACAACAAAACGATCTCTGTATCCAGGCAACGCTTTACCGTTGTGATGACTTGGTCAGTAGTAAGTACCACGTAATTGTAAGGGTAGGTTTCATGTCGCCTCTTCGACTGAGAAACTAGCCAGCTGGTTAAGACGCACGTGCTGACGTCGCGTAGAAAGCACTTGTTATGTAGCAGTGGTTGGTTTGTTGCTCAAGTCTTTGTGGCGTTAGCGTCACCGGCAGCGAACGTGGTGTGCTCTATTCATCTTTTTACAACACCTATTTTAACAACCTAGGTCCACTCTCTTTTCCTTTATCCTTTCTCGACAAAACCACTTTGTTTTGTCGCAGGGGTTGTGATCCTCCTGGCCAGGCTCCCTGTAAGACGATGAGGGTTTCTTGGGAAAGTATGGGTTCCCTTTGCCGGTGTTGCTGCGCAAGTGACTGCCACCTTCCAGAATATATCGAGACTCAAACCCACTCGACGCCACATGCGTATGAGACCCTTGTCGACGCTCGTATGTAATCAATGACTCTTACCTTCGGCGATAGGCTGCTTCCTGGTCTCAGCTGTCAAGGGCAGCGACAAAATCAGGCTGTGTCGGGAAAGCTCAAGGTCAATGAGCAAGCACAGCTAGAGCACCAGCTACCGCACGTGTCAAGCACCAGCTACCGTGTTGTTCAATGACTGACAGTCGGAGTTCTTGGTCAAGTGAAGTGCTGGCATCGCTGGTTGTGCTGATTGGGGTGTGAGAGCAAAGTGGAGGTGTCGGGTGTGGAAGATGCCAGATGACGTGCGCTAGCCTCGGGCTTTGCATGATTACGTTACTTTTGCTCCCCACCTAAACAGACCCCCGGATCAGCTTTATCGGATTGAATTCTAACTGCGGAAACTTCAAATTTATGAGATAAAGGGATAGACTAAAAAAACTGGTGCTTGGAGACAAGCGCTCGAAACTCCCATGTTCTATCTAGCCTATCCATTTATCCAGAATTCTCGAAGCCGACAAGTGTTACAAAGACAGTCCTCGTCTGCTGTTTTCTCCTTTATTGCTGTATCTTCTTCACCTGAGGGGGAGGCTGGAAGGCCCAACATGATGATGCAACTTACGATGCGGAGCCTTCCGCTCGTCCAGCATCGACCGTAGATACTCACAAAGCTAGCGTCAGATGCTGCATCCTAAAATTACATAATGGTCGACCCTGACGGTCTAAGCCCACCAGGTCACTTGCGTTATTAGCGGGGTTCTGTACTTTTTTTGGGCTTCTCATATGCTCGATTTGGGTCTCAGCGGTCTTTACTACTTTATCTTTGGCGCCTAGAGGCAGTGTCTCCACTACGGCTCTGTCCCGCGACGTCCCATCCCGCGGAACGAGATACAGGATGAGCCTGTCTTATCCCGCGCGTCCTGCATATCCCGCATTCTATTGTTATTTTTAGTTGATGACGTCAGGATTCTTATTTTTCTATGATCAAAATGTTTATAGAAATGAAGACAGCGTAAACAAAGGCGCAATCAATTTATGTGTATTCATCATCCATTTTGCTTTCATTTTCAACATTTGACCTTTCTGCGAAGGCATGCATCCAGGCTTTACAGGTGCTTGTAAAGAGGATCTGTATGCCTTTAGCGACGATTCTGCGTACATTCTTATCTACTAGGACCTCGCGACTTCAATCTAGGGTTAAGGTAAGATCTTTAGTAGTAAATCGATTGCTTAAAAGCCTCGTCGAAAGGTTGGACTATTCCACCAAGCGTCAAAATCGCCTATGAAGCAATCGCACCAGCGTAATTGTTTTCTGTCAAGATCAAATCAAGACGTCGCTGTTCATTCAAACTCTACTGCATTGATGTTAATGTATGGAGTAAACCTTAGTAATTTCGCTACCACCACGTTGAAAAGAGCCCTTCTTGCATTAAGTCTGCCATCTGCGGCACCGATTAGGATCGAGTGGATAAGGCATTGAGCTTCTACCCTTGTTGTAGCAGGTAAGCATTGACCACCTCGACAAGAATTTTACCGTTATACTCATAATCTAGTACCCTAAGCGCATATGGAGGTGATCATGTGTCTGCAGATCTAGTCGTTACGAAATTTTTGAAGCGGAAATTGCTCAGTAATCTCGTCCCGCAGTATCCTGCGTCCCATCCCGTCCTGCGCAGGATGGGATGCGGGATGGCCAATCCTACCCCATTCTACGTGGAACAGAGCCCTAGTCTCCACTAGCAACTGCCAAAGTCACGCGCGTGTAGTTCAGTGATCCTATCACACCACAAGCATAAACAAATTTTGGTATATGACAGGCTTCTCCACGTACACTCGGACACCAGTGGCTGTATTCGAGCGAATGTAAGATCGTTCGGCAACTCAGGATCTGTGTTGTCCTCGAAATAATTCTTGTCGTTTAAATAAATTGCATTTGCAAAAACAAGCTGATCATACGAAAGCACGGCTCCACACAATGTATGCACGTGATTCTCACTTTCACGCATGTGACGCGCTCAACATATCCACAATCAATTTCCACCTCGTCAACCATTTGCTTACACACCAGCCTTATCACAATCGTGTTGCCATATCACCGCGAGTTGGCGAATGTAGGACCACAATTTAGAGAAATCGATGCAGCGAAAATTTCGTAAGGAATACACGGATCCGACAAAGTCCGTAGCATGTATGTTCCGGAAAAGTAAGTAACAGTCGTGGACACGGCTGCAGGTATCAAACATCAGCACTTAATGGTCGATTTGCATGGAAGCACTTAATTCTCGGCATGCATGTGCGCGCTCCGACCCGCAAGCCACACGACCACAGACGTCTTTATCTGATTCGAGCTCTTGCAATGGGACCGAATACGTAGCGATACGCAAGACGACTAAGTTGGGAGCAGGATGGCGCCTTATTGTCTTAGTAGTATACCCTAGTGGATGATCGTGCGTCAGAGGCACGCGTATTAACTGAGAATTCATGGACGCACGCGGTGTTGTTCCATCAGTATTTATGAGCAAAGCCGAGGGCTGTCTTTCTAACATTTGTCGTTTTAGTAAATACAAGACAAATGGATCGCCTCATTTTTAGAACCTTGGTGTTTTGAGCACAACGCCTCAGTGTATTCAGAGTTTCCCTGCGAATTGATGTATTTAAGCGTCCCATGGGATTTGTTCTTCTGCAATTCCTAAGCGATCTGCGATGGCGTCGGGCAAGCTACGCTTCATATCGTACTACACTCCCGTATCTTATTCCGAATTTGTTGCCATGTTTCTGGTCTGATGAGTGCGGACCAATTGGTAGCTTTACCGAGCTTCTTCTTAATGTAATACGACCGGGGAACGTCAACGTATGCCAGACTATCAACCCATTCAGCTGACCCGATGAATACTTCCACGGCCCGTAATCTATCATATCCAGCCTAGAATCGTATTCGATGATTGTCGCTTGCGGCATCTTCGAAAACTTTTGCCACTCACGAGTTCTCTACTTTCCCTCACAACTCAAATTGCCAGCCGTCGACAACACCAGCACTTCACCTGATCAAGAACCCGCACTTTACCCCATCAAGAATGCGTCTCCAGTACGTGGCACTCATGGCAGCTGCTGTTCTAGCTGCGCGTGCTCATGGGCTTGAGGCTGTCCCCGAATCGGTCAATACTTTGCCCGAATCGGTCAAATCTTCGTCGCTGCAGACCATCGCCGCGGGCAAGACCCAACATTTCCTGACAAGCGACAACAAAGGTCCCATACCTATGGTCGCACCGCGTGCGTTAGTTTCTCGATTTCTCCAGGACGGTGACCGGCACTTGCGCAGCAACATCGGCAATGTCATGGGAAAAGACGTGAGGAAACCCATCCAGTCCAGCGGTAGGCCTGGCCAGTATGATGCCCCTGTCTCGTCGCCGAAGGGAAAAAGAGAGTAAACGCAAATGGGTAAGAAGAGTGAGTCTAGGTGGTAAAAAGGTGTGGTAATAAAAAATTAATAGAGCACACTGCGGTCGCCGCCAGTGCCACTAACGCCACAAAGACATGAGAAATAAACCACTTGCGCCTACGTAACAAGTGCTTCCGTTGTAGCAAAAGCTCCTCCGTCTCCTTCAAAACCGGCTGGTTTTCTATGACAAAGACTCGTTGTCCAACTAATTCTAGATCTTACGTAGTACTACTCACAACGTCTTTACAACGGCAAGTGCTGTGTGGAGACTGAAACCGTTTTGTTGTAGCTGTGTGCATTCGTTAACCGGTAACAGAAGCTCACGATCTGGCTCCACCATTAGTTCATTCTTTGCTTAACTTGATCCTCATGTGACATTAGTGAGTCGCTTTGACACTTCCGCAAGGGTCAGTCAGCGACTTCGAGACTTCTTAACTGGTCACTATTGCCTTCTCACTCCGTTATCACTGATCCTTGCGTCACTAATATGAATTTTCTAGCTAGTATGATGTTTTCCAAGATTACGGCCATCGCTCAGTTGCCGGGAGCAACGATGAGTGACCGGCAAGTGCACTGCATCTTCATGAGCAGCTCGCCCGTCTCGATAAAGAACGGATGGCAATAACTATGACTATCGAACATCCCACTGATAGAGTAATTGCCAAGGTCGTGTTGCCGGGCGGCACACTCATGTGTCGAGGAAACACCAGCAAGTGTGCAACATATACCCATCCCGGTGGCCGAGCTGATAAGCACTAGCGTCGGGACGAAGAGGCACATGGAACGAATTACGCGGGGGGAGAGTCGATACAAGAAGGCGGAGAGTTGGCTTCAAAGCCGGGTATCCACCCATGGATTTTGCTGGTCGGACTATGTACTGGGGCATACCTCAACAAAAAAATCAAAAATAAACGTGCAACTTTCGATACTCAATGGCGTAATCAGCCGTGACAATGCTGACTACGATGATATGTGGCTGCGTTGTGAAATGAGCTAGAATCATTCGTCGCGGAATGGTCGTCTCAGGTTGGTCAGAGTTACGTACGAAATGGGTTCCAAGTATGCTGCGCGGCTTTTACTGGAAGTGCGTCTATATGTTTTTGCGAGCGCACAGAGCCGGCTTGTGTTGGAAGAGATGCATAGTGCTAAGCTAGAGAAGACTTTTGTTTGGGCATACACGTCGACCTGTGGTAGTCAATCCCGTCATTGCAAGACCACCAAGCAAGTATCCCTTCATCTGCGAGTGGTGCAGTGCAGTCGGTCGACGCAAATCGTTTTCCTCGCTCTTGGATGACTGCTTTGACTCGGATAACCGTATTTGTATCTGCTAACACTTCGTGTTGCTTGTCATAAACAAAGGTGCACCTAATTGTGTAAAAGTGGCCAGTAGTCGATGTGTAGTCTCGACACGCAGAGCGTCACGTTCGACGAGGCAAGGGTGCGTATGGTACGATGTCTGGGATAACTCTCCGCTCCCATACTGCTTTGCTGCTGCCTTTGTCGATCGATGCTGCCCAAGCTTTTATACGATTGTTTGAGATGCGGCAGCCAAAGCGTGAAAGAGGCTCGAATGTACGACATGTTCCAGAGTATGTGCTCTTCGTCGCTGGCAATGTTAACGGATGCATAGCGTGTATCGTCAGTAACAATAGAGAAGCAGCTTCTACTTCTGTCGAAACATTCATGCACTAAATTTGACTTGCTACACTGTCTAGCATCCTGGACGACGTCATAAAGGTCTAGTATAGTAGAAGAAGTATGTACTACAAGCTACGTGCTGGACGTGCATGTGCGTACTCAATTGTACATATGACTCCCATGTCAGAACAACTTGTCTTGCCATATTATACTTGAACTGAACGGGTGTGCCACCAGCGAGGTATACACGAATGGTGCAAGACGGAGCACAAAATCGGGGATGGCGATAGACTATCACTCAATAGAATCATCCAGACTGGGACACAGAAACGACTTTTGCATCGAAACGAGTCGTGCTTGCTGGTCGAGACTCGGGCGCGATACAGCTCTATACAGACGAGTACTTGTTGTGATATGCTGATTCTACAAAATAACCCCGACCTCGCGCGCCATGATCGATAAGACGCCATAAAAATAGTACTTCAGACGTTTACTCGCAAAAGTGCTAACCTAAAACTCGACGCACATTCTCATCATTGCTGAAGGTGACAAGATGACATGCAATACTTGACTTTTTGATGTTGTTGAACACAAGTAGCAATTTGATCGAGAACCGGTCGGGCCGTGGTGACGGCGGGCACTGGCTATCAATAATCTTCGAAAAAGAATCAAGTCGGTACAGCTTCATCTGTCGTCGATGCACGGAATGGGAGATTAGAACCAAAAAAATCCATTCCAAAATATCGACAGTTACGTAAAAAGTCACATCCATCTCCAGCCCCTTCATTGGAGGGTCACCTTCGGCGGGAACATTCCCTCACGGAGCCAAAGTAGAACGGGCCTGCCCCGGACATTCTTCTCGCGCAGCCTCAGGTTACGCAAGGGCAGACAAGGGTGGTTAACAAACGGTGGCGACCCGCGCCACACTTCTTTACTTCAGTATACGTACACGTCGGATCGCGAGACCGCGCAAACGGTCTTCAGGGGCAGTCTCTAAAACTGGCGGTGTCCCACTGTCACGCATTGCCGCTGCAGCGATCGCGCACTACTGATCCGACGGGTCGAGGAAGCAGCCGTGGACGGCAGGAATATTGTGCTGGAGGCGCTGATGACGCCTCTAGCTGTGGTAGTCCTTGGTGAGGTCGCTCAACCTTACCAGAAACTGTCGCCGAGTGCGAAAGCATTCTATGACGTGCGAAGTCGCTTTTGTTACGGGGTTATGCAAACATTTGTGATCACCACACACACTAGTGTTGTTAAGGGGTTAAACATAGTTGGGTACTTGGTTTCCTGTGTCTTAGACATACGACTGTTATACCACTGAAAGAGATATGGAATGTCGTATCGGTATATTGGGGCTGACTGGTGTCAGCCACTGTATAGGAGAGATTTTAGTTTTAGTAACTTAGGTAAAGATATTTTATTGGTGTAAACGTAAAAAAATTCATTTCCCCTTTGGATCTTAGAGACGCGTGCCTTGCGAGGCGTCTTTGGTCGTTTAACGTTAATCACTAAGAGCTAGCAACTCCTTCCTGAGGTATCTAGTTCCTCTTAAGCACTGAGTGCTGTCGATCCACTAAATCGTTTGGTCCCCTGGAACGAGGACCATAAGCTTTACGCTTGTTGGCTCATTGAGTCTACTTGATTAAAACTAAGTTGCTCGTTGGGCGTTGAGTCTTCCTCTGACTTAAGGAGCTGCTTAGCTCCGCCACACTTGGTAGCACTTGTAGTCAATCTTTGCCTGAGTCTTTAAGTCTGATCCTGTGTGAGGATGGAAAACCCCACTCCCCTCTTTGAGGCTCAAAAGGTCGAGCTTAATATGCTAACCGCATCTTCGGCCTCAGAGTGCATAAAGTTACTTATATCACATAGCCCTGATGTGCTAAATGCACGTGTTGAAGGCTTCAAGCAGTATGAAGCTCCCACTCTAGGGCAGATCCAAGACCAAGTAGCGTCGGCCATATCTACACGCTAGGTGTCTGTACCGGACGAGGAGGCTAGGCCTCGTCCACTTCGAGTGGAAGTCAAGAATTGTTTTGGTAAGGAGGGTGTAAACCTCATCCTTTGGATCCCTGAGATTGAGAAAGCCATGATATCAGGCCTGATAAAGCTTGACTATTTACAGTTCTTGCTGGCTATCTCAAAGCTCGGTGAAAGAGCTAGAGAATGAGCCTTGACGTGTAGCACGTCATTTGACTTAGCATTCCCCATATGGGAGTCGCTAAAGTCACAATTGGTACAGGTGTTCTCACCACCTAACCAAGCTTACCGCTTGCGTGCACGCTTTTTATCTACCGTCGTGGTAAAAATAAGTTATCGGACTATGTCCAGAGGTTAAGAACTCTCATGGCTGCAATGCAGTCTGATCCTCTGCCCGAGGCAGTTCATGTGACTTTTTTAACGAAATGTCTTCGCACTGGTATTGCCAGAAACAAAGTTTTTCGGATTCGCCCCTCTACTTTCGAAGAGGCCGTAAAAATTGCTCTTAATGCTGAGCAAAACTTCCAGTCGGCCAGGCTTGGATGAAATGGGTACGACCTAGCTCTGCGACAGCAAATTCCGAAAGTGGTCCGGCCTTTAAGAGGCCATAACTGATGGATCTCAGCTATGCTGAAGATGAGAGTGAAGTTGAAGTTCAAGCTGCTGAGCAGCAACGCGTCGTACGACGATGTTTTACACGCGGAAGCACTAAACACTTGCGGCCTGGTTGCCCCTTGCGTAAGCAGCGTCAAACTACAAGCCAACAAACCACCCCTAGCCAGAAGGCTGGCATGGCACGGGTAAATGCCGACGCCCAGTAGGCGCGGTGCGCCGAACTGGGGAAGAACTGGGATCTGTTGCACATTTAGAAGGTAAAGTATAACAGGCTTAGCCCCAACGACCTCAGAACATATTGGTATGGAGCGTGGACACAAGTCTGGCTTGTTAGTCGCCGAGACAAAATTTTAGGGCTTTGAGAGGCCTTCGTCGATGTCGATCGACCTTAAAGCGTCTTGCAATTTTGCTCGACGTCGTTCCCTTGAGGGAAGTCAGCGCCATTCTGAGGCGCTTACAGCGCATGAGACTGATTTTATCACGGTTCGTTTAGCGACTGGAAGTCGTGTTACTGTGCCTAAAGTTCCTTTGAACTTAGGCATGCTGTTTTTAGACTTTGAAAGCATCGAACGCTGTCTTGTCCTTGACTTGGATTCGACATATGATCTCATCCTTGGTATGGCTTGGCTTGAACGCCATGATCCATGGATTGACTGGAGGTTAAAGACCTTAGGCGCCACGCGCAACGTTTCTAGCGAAGTTTGGAGAGTTATGTAACCACCTTCGCTAGGAAACAGAAGCACTACTGGGGCGATA